ATGAAAGAATAAAATGCATTCTTGCCACTGTATCATGGACCTCCCATGATTCTTCCATTGCTGCTATCCAATTCTCTTTTACTATTGGAATAATTTCTTTAAAGGCAAAACAAATGCTGCTCTGGAATAGCCATGGAACAAGTGTCCTCAATAATACTTCCCCACTGTCATCCTCTGAAACAATGAGGCCAATCCAGGTCCACCCAAAATGCTTCAGCAGCTTAACAATCCCAACATACTGAGCCATTTCATTTGGGATCATTCGGTAGACAGAAGGGAACTGAACTTTATCATTCAGTGCAGGGTCAAAGGAGCCAAAACTGAGCTGAAGATAAAGACAGTTTTCTTTTTAGTGTTAACAATAATCTCTCATTGTTCCTCAGTATATGTTATTCTTCTAATGTATCTGCAAGACAGATTGTGAAAGTAAAGTTTTTGAACTGCAAGAAATGTTGATAAGGGTAAAAAACATCATACACTATGTTGTGGGACAGATAGGAGTACCAGAGGGCTAACTATATGATGTATGCAAAAGGCCACAGGTGAATTTTCTAATCTGAAGCAGAGAGAATGTGATGTGAACACCTTCAGTTACAATGCCATTTAACTCTCTCAGAGTTATCTTCTGGCCTTAATTCATAAACTAGCAATTTTATCCAAGCTTCAGTTCCCTTCATACCTCTGAGAGGCACTCTAGAATGGAAAGGCTATAGAGAAAAAGAAAACTTTTCTACCAGAGTTTTCCTCATACCAAACTGCCTCGCCCCATTTGTAAAGTCAAATTAAAATGGTTTTGATTGCCAGGGGAATATACATGTTCTCAACTTCAGAGTGGAACGGAATGTTTTCTGGGACTACTGGGTATGATTAACCTAGAGAAGAGAAAGTTGAGAGTTTATATGACAGCCTCATTTAAATATTTAAAAGGATACCATGTTAAAGCAAAGCAAAAAGCAAAGCAGCTTCATTTATATACCGCTTCATATCGCGCATGGGATGTCTAAGCGGTTTACAACTGTGAGCTGATTGCCCCCCAACAATCTGGGTACTCATTTTAGTGACCTTGGAAGGATGCAGGCCTGAGTCGAGCCTCAGCCCTGGCTATTATTGAACTCGCAACCTTGTGGTCTATGAGTGAGTGGCTGCAGGACGGGCATTTAACCACTGCGCCACCAGGGCTGATAGTTGGAGCAAGCTTGTTTTCTGCTGCTCCAGAGGTCAGAACACAGAACAATGGATGCAAACTACAGGAAAAAAGATTCCACTTAAACATTTGGAAGAACTTCCTGACATTAAGAGCTGTTCAACATTGGAACACATTTCCCTCGCAGTGGTGGAATCTTCTTCTTTGGAGATTTTTAAAAAGAGGCTGGATGGCCATCTGTCAGAATTGCTTCGATTGTGAGTTCCTGGATGGCTGAATGGTTCTATGGTGCCATAATGCTATGATTGCCCTGTGTCCAGGAATTTGAGGCAGATTGGACATGATGTGGACATCTTCAATTACAATCTCATTTAACTCTCTCAGATTTTTCTTCTGGCCTTAATCCACAAACAAGCAATTTTGTCCACACTTCAATTCCCATCAACCCTCTGAGAGGCAAAATGGATGGCAGATGTTATAGAGAAAATCTCAAACTGCCCTTTCCCATTTGTAAAGTAAATATAAATGGTTGAAATGTGTCTGCTTGCCAGGAACATTTACATATTTATGAACACATTTTCAGCCTAAAAATGGAAAGGAATGTTTGCTGAGACCACTGAGTGGAACTTTTCACCCTCATCAATTTGGAGGAACTTGGCAGACTGTGACCTAAAATGAGGCATTGCCTTTAACCCTCCAGATCACTGCTTTATGCATATAGCTGAAGGAACATACCTGGGCCATCTTATAGATATTCAGGATGTGAGGCATCTGTTTGGAATTGTGAGAGGAGAGCCCACCAATGACAGCCATTAGCTTGTACTTCCTTTTGCAGATATAGTTGGGAGGATTCCCATCTCCTGTGAAAAGGAGATCCATAGTCCCAGAACATGTTCCCATTTCATTGTTAGCTTTGTGTGTCCAGCGTTGGCCTAATGTGGCATTGGGTAAGAGGTGGGCATTTTGATTGATCTCTTTCATGGCAAATTGAAAGGCAAAATACTGGTGGCAAAATTGAGGCAGAGTGCTGCAATGAGATGTTCACACAATCTGAGTGCTGCCACATTCCTTAAAGCATTGTTACATCTCTTTCAAAGAAGTATACAAATCTGAGTTTGACTTGGATTCTAACACAGTCATATTTAGTGGAGACTGACTGAAATATTTGTACTTAGCAAGTAATGACTCATACTAATTTCATTCATGTCAGTGGCCCTAAGTTCTCATGAAGAATTTGACATTTTGAAGTCTTCCCTAAACTGGTTGCATTTCACTTTTAATATACTTTAGTCTATATGACTTTTTTTCTCCTTGTTGATATCTCTAAACAGTTTGGCAATCTCTGATGACTTTTCTTTCTCTCTTTCTTTCATATATTCATTCATTCTTTCCTTCTTTCTCTTTTTGTATTTTGGACACTATAGTAATTCAAAACTGAACACATTTTTTATACAGAAACATGTAGTCTGCACCTCAACCTTTCCTTTTTACCACCATTATACATCCAGCCATTTAATTCTTCCTTTATGTTAACCTTTTTTTGTCTTGAATAAATTCCTCGGACTTGTATGACAACTCTGGCAAGAATCATTATGTCCTTGTGTACAATCTATGCAATCTACCTTGAGCACATGTCTTTGAAAGTGCAGAATTTTATAAGGAAATATGCAATGTGCCTCAATACATCCTTCTTCCTTTCAACTATCACATTAGAGAACTTTAACATTTGGAGCTCACTTCCATCAGATCTCTAACTAAAAGTGATACAATAAACTTGGAATTGGCTTGTACATCTCTGGAATGCAAGTAGAGTTTGTCATGACTGAGTTATATATGATAGGCTTAAAAACCTCTTAATTCTAGCTAGGCAAAAAGAGGTTTGATCTGCTTTTGTCCTGGATATGCTATTTCCTTCCCCTAAACACACATTTTTAAAAACATTTTAATGGAAGGAGATTAAATATTTCATACAGGCAAGATACACCAGGCCTTAGTTTCAAGCAAGATATAATGGCTCAGGGTTTTCTCTCATGAACCATATCACTTGTTTGGAGCCATATTACCAGACTGAAATATGAAATCCAATGTTTTAAACTACCCTGATGTTTGTGCATGCTGACTTGACAGGGAGGGATTGGAATTAGAGACCAACAGGATTTGTGAAAGATAATATAGTTACCAGAGAGGTAAATGAATGAAGTCATTTTTCTAGATTTGCATGAATACATTCAGTTAGACTTATTGTTTAGACCAATGACCCTTCTGTATTACAGAAGAGTTACTTACAAGGCTTTTCCCCCCTTAGCAGGAAGTATGTTAAAGGAAAACACTTCATGATTAGGAACAAAAAAAGAGACAAATTCACCAATGATGATAACCTCTTGAATTTCAGTTGAGATATTTTCCACCTTTGTCTTCCAGTCACACCCAGAATTCATCTTCCTGCCCACATGATGAGGGAGTTGCAGCAATAGAAGGATCAGCAGCAGAGACATCCACTTAAATAACAGATTCAAATCCTGGCCCCAGCCACCACTGCATAAAACCATTTTGACAGGTGCATAGAATATCAGTGGTACTCCCAAGACCCTCTCTCAGCAGACTAAAATTTCAAATACCTCAAAAAAGCTATATAGTCAAAAAAAATTAACACTGCCCTCTGACTTCAATAAACCCCAGTCTCATTGTCTAACCAATTGTTTTGAAACTAATCTTTATACATACAGCAGAGTGATTCAGTAAATTTGGCTGGTTGACTCATCTGTGTTGCTTACTTTCTGTAAGCCAAAAGCTAAAATTGCTTGAAGTCAATGATTATGATCATTACAGGGAAGATAATTGCCTTGTCAGTATCCTCAACTCAAAATGATCAGCAAGGAATTATATGCTCAATTACAACCCCAACATACTGGCTAACTTTGGTTTAAGTAAATTTGCCCCTGAGATTCCAAATAAAACAGAGATTCAGTCCCCGCAATTATATATATATATATCACTGTATATATCACTTGTATGTTTGTATTCTAACTTGTATAACCATGAAGCAGTAGTTGAACTGACACTAGAACTTTGCAGTCTCAAATGCCTATTCCTTAAAACTCTCCCGAAAATGACTAGAGCTGCTTTAATAATCTTTAACTTGGTTCACTTCTTAAGGATGACCAGCTTTTGAAAATTTGTGATGTGTTTACTCTGCTACTATGTTTATTCTGTTTACTTTGTTTTACGTTTTGAACACAATTCTCTCATTTGTCCCTCCCAGTTGAGACCCTCCATTCCATAGGCCCTGAGCATGGTATAAAGTGTTGGCCAGTAGTAATATTTGAGCAAGGCCAACTCCTAGCACAGTCTGGGTAAAAATCATCCAGATACAACCAAAATAATATAAATAACAGCATATTTTTTTAAAAAACTGCTATTTTTGTTGACAGTGCACTGACCACTTTTCACAACTTAAACAATCAC